GAAGGCGCAGTGGCACTGAGCTCTATAGCCCCCTGTTTATTATGTTTGAACGCTTCAGGGAGCTCATAATTCTCAAGCAAGGAGATGAATATGGCGACACTCTTTACCGGCTATACAAGAAAGATTACAAAGAGAGAGGGGGGGAGTTTTCCACCCAAGTTGGAGAGTGAATAATGCAGTAATCGGTCGCCATCCGAGGGCCGTTTTCAGGTGGTCTGTCTTTGGTCGGTTCTGTTATTTTGCTGTCTCGATATGAACTCCTCTGGTGAGAGGCAGATTAATATGAAAAATGCACAGAGGAGATCCACTTCATAACTTTCCTGGCTCTGCCAGCATGGATTACTAAGAGCGGGCTCTGTGTGACAAGAACTGATGGGACCTCAGTCCTGGCTCCAAATGCTCCAGTTGGGCCGTCTGCTTTTCATTACCCAGGAGGAGGATGTGGGAGAAATCTCGTATCCCTACGAGAAAATCAAGTCAAACGCTTCATCCAAGCATAATCTAGCTGACATTTCAGAACCATTATACTCTTACATAGCTACCAAACATTATTTTGTTAGGGGAGTTGGAGCAGTTACTTCATCCTCTTTGAAAAACGTGCCTTTAAGATGCTGATGTCAGTGAAACATGCGCAGGGCAGGATCCTGACTAGCTGAAGTGTTTGTACAGGTTGCCAAAGTGTTGTCAGAGTGTTTTGATAGACATGCCTTGTTAAAGTGCAGGCTTTAACAACGTTATGAAGGGTTCGCAGTCCTTCTGAGGAAGCAGGGGAAGCAGCCCACATACAACCACATGTATTTTTCCAAAAGCTGCCCGGCGACTCGATGTGGTTTCGCGCCATCGCATTCCATGACCTCCGAGTCCTCTAAGAGAATTATCACATTATGGCATTCCTGCACGCCCAATTTCCCCAAAATACAGCTCAAGGCTTTCCACTTTCCTTCTCTTAACTGTGGCTTTTGGGGAGGGGAAAAAAAAAGAAGAGAGAAATCCTAAATAGCCCTTTTGAATTCGCTTGTTTACTGCAGGTACTTGTTTAAACCCTCTTTGTGTTGCTCAGATCACTCCCTCTTGCCACTCAAGAAATCCAATAAAACACATTCCCAATTACGCTGTCCTCATAACTGCAGCTTGCAAAATGACCTTCCTCCTTTCCAGCACGCATCAGACATGCACAGACACCCGACAACAACAGCGAGACAGCTCATTTTCTACCACGTACATTAATATATAGTTTTAGGGCCATTGGTGCATGCTGGAAGGGAAAATCAATGCAGAAGCGAAAAGGATTTGCAACAGGCTATAATAAATGTCTCCTTGAGCTAAATTGCACAGATGCTAAATATTTCAATACATTTGGAAACTTAAAAATGGGAGATTTCTGTCCAGACAAAGAAGAAAGTATCAATAATGCTTTAAACACAATAAAAGCTCTTTCTTAGCAGTGATCAGGACTCTCTGGATACAATTTGAGAGTCTTGGAAAAGGTCAAAATGCTCAAACGTTATGGTATTCATATTGTGTTAGAGTGCGCTGAGGTTTGATGAAAACCATGTGGTGTAGCAGAGCGTAATGCCATAATGTCATGATTGAAAAGCAGCTTAAATCGCGGTCACACTCAATTCTAATGTGATTCAAAGCTCTCAAAAGTTCACCAGGTCCTCCAAACATTATGATTAACCGTTTCAGCGAAGATCCAGACAGCAGTACTGACAGTATTGTAACTAATTCCGCAGCTAGAACAAACACATTAGACACATATTAAATGTACATCACACATGTTAAAGACAGTCTCATATGAAAGCGTAGCATGACTGAGCTGCAAAGAGCCAACGGCCTGCCCTCTGCGTTTCTCATTTTCCACATAAAGTAGTAAACTGCACTTTTTTCGGTTGCCACAATACATATTATACAAACCGAGCACTACTTTCATTTCCAAGATAAAAGTTCCAGATGTGTGTTTACTTTTCTGAGTTCATCTCCAAAAACAAGCCCCACAATGAAAGACGCGTGTCTCATACGCGGAGACTTTCACTTGCTCTCTACCCGAGCCTGCTGTTCTCTCTGCTGAGGCTGAATGGGGAACTTTGTGAAAATAAGAGCGCTAATTACAGGCTGCTGTAACATTGTTAAAGCTCGGCATGTCTTTAAATGTAAGACACCCCACTGGATGAAACATAAAAGCAAACACAAATAACTAATTATGCCATCATCTTCCGCCGGCCGCGCTCAGCGTTAGCTTGTCTCCGGCGCTTGTTAATTGGTGACCTGCACTATTGGTCAGCAGACAATCGGCACGATGATGAAGCCAATTAGAGCCGGAGAGTACACATGCCCCACAGAGCTTGTTGTGGCTGCCACATCATGTCTCATCTAACTCAAAACAAACGCCAGGGAAGCGCTGGCGTGACAGCTGTGGCACGGGACGTTCCAGCGTGGCCAACTTTCTCTCAAAAACGCCCTCACAAAGGCTGCTATTGTGCAGGGGCTAGCGCGCCTCCACAGCATTAAAGCAGAGTTTAATCTGTTTAAGTGCGGGGCACGGCCCAGAGAGCAGACGCACTCCTCTTCTTATATCTGTTTCCCTTAGGTGTGTTATAAAAATGGCTTTAAACAAAACCCTGGCCTGCTTCTTTAAGCAGATTTATTGTTTCGTCCATGTTTCAAGCATATTGCTTTATTTATTTGATTATCGGCCCCCCGCAACACTTCATAATAACTCATACGTTGAAAATCCTCTCTGCGTGTCCAGGAAGGGCGGTTTTGATTTATCCGAGTGGAGTGGTTGCACAACACTTCGTTCCCTATTTTGCGACCAACAAAGCTCGCTCCAAACTCTAAACATGCCAGAATGAGGTTAACTCATCACACTGCCTCGCCTTTCTTGTTTGCCACTTTAATGCTGAATCAAATGAGTGACTTCAGCATCTTGAAAACAGACAATAAACTGCTCGTCTCACTTTGGCTGGGTGTCTGTGATGATGAACGCTCCGTTCCTTTCCTCGCACTTTCCAAACCTTGTGTTGACTCGCATGAGCAGTGGCTGTCATGAGGCTGCTTTGTTCTTGCCATGCTACAACCATATTTACCTCTCAAATCCGGCGCGGCGCTCTGGGGATGGTGCAACGATGAAGCCTTGCTCAACCACCACATCAATATTTTATGACTGTACAATTACATGAAATCAAATCTTAGTGAAGCTATTCATTTATAAGTCCTGGAGGAGGAGGGAGGAGGAGAGCAGAGGAGAAGAAAGAACAGGGGTTGGGGGGGAGAGGGAATGAAAGGATTCCAAAAAAATGGAGGGGAAAAAAAGTACTTGAAGAGGAGAAAGTGAGCGTGCCTCCTCCAAAAACAAGCGAGAGAGGAATAATTGCGTGTGCAGTGGGTAATTAAGCGATTGGGAGCGGCGTGTGTACGTGAGCTGTCGCCGCGATCTCCACCGCTGTCACACACAGCCACGCAAGGCCGAGCGGACAGCCGCTGTCCACTTTGATCTGGGCTCATGCATACGGAATGAGGTCAGCCCGCGTTCCTTAAAGAGACCCACCCCTGAACGAGGCGAGCGGGACAGGCAGAGCACGTCTTCAAAGGGCCGCGCACGAGCAGCTGCGTAAAGCGGTTTGACAATTAAACACGAACAAACAATAAGGTGGGCTGGGGAGGGGTGTGAATTAGATTATAGTGCCCAGTGCTCTCTAATTCTTACACTCATCCACACAGACAGGCACAGAGGGGGCATACACATGGAAATTTGTGTAAAGCACCTACTAGGCCAGCTATATGAAGTACTCAGTTACATACTTGCAGCATGCATTGAAAATTAAAATGATCTTCCAGTCATTTTGTCTTAAAATAAGGAATATCAGTTATTTTATAGTCTGCTTATCAAAAAGTTTGGGGACACCTTACTTTCTTTGGAAATTTCCAGAGTAATGTTCGAGTTTCATGGTTGCTGTTACTAATCCTAACTTATTTTTCCAGCTATGTGCGCACATAAACTGTACTCTTTGGAAAGTCCCATGACACAAGGTATGATTTTTCAGAGGTTATTTTGAAAAGTTTGTCCAAATAATACTTTCATTCTTGGTCGTAATTATGACCGGTGGGAAACTGCAAAGTCAAAGCTTGCATCACTTGAACAGCTAGGCTACATAAGAAATAAAACCTTTATAATTATTAACAATAAACCATGTAAAAAAGAGGCAGCATTAGTGATACAATAACAGAAATGCTGCTTGTAGTCTCTATTGGGTTATCATGTTCTAGCATGTCCAGCATGTCAGACAAAGTAAAACTATATGAAAGAATCTTAGATTAGAAAAGATTATGGACAGCAAAGATGAGCCACTGTTATCCTACTGTGACCGTCCACACGTTTCCAACTTCTGTGCGTGTGATATAAATCTCAGATGTATGCTTGAAGTAAGTGACCCTGGTCATTTGACCAATGACATCACCAATTTAACAATTTAACAAAACATTAATAAGAAATCAGTGTAATTTCAAGGTTATCTTTCAGCAAAAAAAAAAAAGACTATTTAGAGCTTTACAAACTGCACAAATTACTGGTGGGATTAAATGGGCTAAGTAAGTAAAATTCCTGCATATGGCTTTGTTAACATAAAATGACTATTGGCTAATAGCTTTTTCAGCTCTCAGCATCATGTTCATCAAGAGTTCATCAATAAAATTTCATAAATAATGATTTAACAGTTTTTTATTGTTTAAACCACACATTGAACACTGCTTATCCCAAAGGTGGTTCAAACAAGAGGGTAAATTGTAGGTTATGACCTTATTGTCACAGTTTTTGCAAAGAAAATGGCTAAATTATAACATCTTCAGTGATGATAAAACTGTCACACTCATTTATTAGGAGCTTTTTAAAGGGTTAAGTGTCCCCAAATGTTTGATGAGCAGCGTAATTGCAATTCTGCTATAAGTCATAACATGACAGGTAGCATTGGCCATGACAACAGGAATCAATAGAGACAGACCTGCTCGGTTTTGGGCTTGACCACCTTCATGAACGCTCCGCGGGCCTCGGCCTCCTGCTGCTCTGTCTGGGTCACTTTCCTGCTGTCCAGAAACTTCAGATTCTTCAGCTTATGCAGTACAAAGTACCTGTAAAGGAACATAAAAACATCTTAGGATGCTAATTGTTCGCATGTTTGTGTTTCAGCAATACTAAGTGCAGAACACAAAACATACAACAGATGACACTAGAAAAGCCCTAAAACAAGCTGTATATTTCTAAGAAACAATGACACAAATGTGACACTGTTATAAACGGAATTAAATGTGAACGCTCGCTTACTTAGTGTTAACTTAATAGTGGTGATATTTGTAAATAGGTAATCACCTTCAAAGTGGATAAAAATAAGGACAACATATAAATAGATTGGAAAATAAAATACATAGACCTCATCTGCCAAGCTGTCATTTCTGTAACATCACAGATGTCTTTTTAAGCTTTCACGCACTCTCTATCTTTCATTCAGAGGGAGAAAATGACATGAGATAATAGCACGAATACGGAGATGACAACAGATTCTTTCACAGGCTGACTGGAATGGAGGAAGCGGCATGTCAAGATTAAGCTTCAGAGAGGGAGAGAGAGAGAGACAGAGACACAGAGAGAGAGAGAGAGAGAGAGAGTAAGTGGAGGGTGTGAACAGATGTGTATATGGGCAGCGACAGATCCCCAACTGAGCTCTCATGCACAAGCCAGTGACAAATTGATGATGATGACAATGATGAAGGAAGATAGCAAACCTGTGCTACATGTTCACTACGGATGGATCACACAGAATAGAATTTTAGATTGATCCTATTAAGATAAGCTTGGATCAAAACTCTGCACAGCTACAAATATTGCTCAAGTATATCAAAGGCAAGAAACCAAGTGCACACATGCACACGGTCATATGCAAAAGTTACATTTTTGTATTTTCTAAATGAAAATAATAGAGAAATTTTCTGCACATTTTAGTGCACAACTTCTATTTATTTGCTAAGGTTAATATAGTGGAAAGAAATAAAACCTAAAATGTGCGTAGGCTGCATTTTATGTTTATGTTGTGTGCGAAATGTGGCAAATAAACAGTATTTGTGCATAATAATGCACACAAATGTGTTCTCTGTAGAAAATCCATTCACTTTTTTTCACTTAGAAAATCAACTAAACATATAATTTGACTGGGGCGCCCAAACTTTTGTATACAACTGTATATTGTTGCTGTCCAAAAACATGTATCTCCTTTTTTGTTAACTGTCATTCTTCTGCGTCATTTAAACACAGCAGCTGTCCTTTAGGTAGTGTGAAAACCTCATAATGAACAGACCAACAGAAGTGCTCCAAAATCACTTAGAATAAAGTCTTGTTATATTAGCCGACATTTAAAGTTAAGAATGTTATTGACGTCACCTAGAAAGTCAGTATTTTGGAGATACACATATTTTTTTGGACAGTCACGATATGCTCTGAAATATTTCAACTGTTAGCATGCAGCTATTGCTACACTGATTATGCCTGTGAATGTAATACATAGTTTTATTGCACACAAGTTTAAACAGCTTGAAGTAACATGAATTCTTCATTAGTTACTGAAGAGCACTGCAGTCATACTAAGTTTTATCCACCATTATTCATTTCCAAACAAACGGAACGACAGCCGCTGCTTATGGGAAATACGCAGGTGTTTCCTGATTACTCTGAAACGGTCTGCGCTGCTCAGACAGATGGCTGGTGCTAGCTCGGCTTCAGCTGCAGTTTGAAGCACCTGAGGCCACACTGCCCGCAACTTTTGATCTTCAAAACAAACGCGGATTTAAGGTCTAGATAAACATCACAACACATAATGAGGCCGGAGAGTTCTTGTACTTCGCAGAGAGGCAGGACGCTCAGCCTTTACTGACGCCTGTCACTGCCACTGCTGCATCACTTCTGTCGTAGAATGAATACATAAATAAATAAATAAATAAAAGCTCAAGCCCCTGAAGTAAACAATGATGAATGAGCGCTGTGGCTGCTGTAAAATACAGCTGTGTGTACTTACGCCTATTCATTTCATTTGACTAATTGGAAAAGCTTAACGCTGTATTTCACAGTGTTGCTGTTCGGGGCTGGGTTTCTTTTCTTTCCTTTTTTTTCTTGTGTTTCTCAGGGCACACTTGGAAATGTGTGTAGCCCAAGGCCAGTCCCGCCATGACCTGAGCACTGCCTAACCTTGTCAGACATGAAATCTGCATCATGGTCAAACTGATGTATTACTATGTGACACATTATGAATATTACATCACAAATCCGCCGCCGCTGTCAGTCAAGAAGAGAATGGCCTTCTCCAGCACTAAGTGAAGCATGGGAGGCATTGCAAGTGAGTGGCGCCTTTTAGGTTCATCTGTATGGTAAATGATTCATACTGAACACAATGTCAGGAAAAATGCACTTAGGGCTAAGATAGACAAAAGAATGCATTTTTCCTCGCAGCTCCCTCTCTCTCTCTCTCTCTCTCTTCCTTTCTCCAGCCGACAGGGTTTCATGTTGAAAACCTGACAAATGGTGGTAACATAGCGTGGCATTGCACTCCCATAGGCCCGGGCTTGATAATGAATGCATCGTTTCATCTTGTAAGAAAAGATAGCAAACAATCATTTGTGGTTATCACAATTCACACATGAAATCGATTTTGCAACTCAAGAAAGAGAGAGGGGGGAAGGACAGGTGAGGTCGAGTACCCTTAAGAGAAATGGGCTTATAGCCTAACAGAGCAGCCTGTGCTGGTGATTTATGGTATTACGCAACAGCCATTCATCCAAGGGGAAAAAAATCCTGAAAGTTGCCAAACAACACATTCCTTGGGAAAAATCTCCACAAAAGTCTTCGCAGTTTAAAGAAATGCATGTGAGCAATGAGAACACCAGCAACATCTGTCACTTCACACATCCATTAACACTTACAATTAAAAGCTACACAGCATAATCCTCTATTTCAAATAACTCAAACTGGGCTGGACTGAGAACCACTAGCAGATTGTAACAATACAGGATGTTAGCAGCATGTCGAGAGATTTGTGCACTAAATACTTACCACAGTAAACAAACAAAACATCTGGAAAATGAACTATGTATTTTGCATTAAACACTTTTTTACAAGCTGACATCAAGCATCAGAAGAAACGTTAGCATATTAGTACTCATGCATGTGTGGTTCTGACCTGTATCTCTGGTAGTCATCCTCGTCTTTATCCAGGCTGACCAGTTGGTTGGGGCAGGCCTCGTTTCCCAGCAGGCTCAGATACTCCAGTGCTGGCGTCACTTCCTGTAAATGCTCTAGAAGGTCTTCGATGTCGGTGAGGTGTCAGAGGGGGAGAGGTCAAGGAATTCTGGCCAGTTGTGACTCAAGCATTCACTGTTTGCCGTGCTCAGACCCTGTTTGCCAGCACAGCTCCGCTGCCTTTACCACCAAGGGCCTCTAAACCCACTCAACAGGCGTTGTGTTGGAGGGGGAAAGAGCAGTGGCGTTTAAAGCGGAGAACTTGGCCCGTGTCTCGCGTCTGGCTGCTACCCCCATGTTTCTCCTGCTATCCCATGTTTCTCTCTCCATTTCCTAGGTGGCTTGGTGCAGAACATTAAAAACATTGACAAAATGATGGATGCCCTGTGGTAAAAACAGTTAGTGACTCCCCGGGCCATGGAAACTTTTTCTCTTCCCTCCACGCAGGGAAACAAACAGCCACTTCACAGCGCATTCATCACTAATACATTCACTTCATTGGAAAATGGTGCCCCAAACGTGTCAAAATACAACTGCACTAATGCAGCACTTGAATTTCAATGGCAGCGGGCCACTACAGGGTGTAAATAATTGGCCCATTAGCATGTGCAGACCACTTCACAGCAGAACTCAGGTTTTGAGCCGCTGACACTCAGCTGGAGGAGAGTGGGGTGTAATGGTGGAACAGGGGGACAGGGTGTGAGGCTGTATCATTATCGCGTGCTTGGAGGAAGCGTCCGCCGAAAAACAACATGCAGAAAAACTTAGCAATTATTTTTGACTGATCAAATCGGCTGTTGTAATACCTACCATAAACCTGCCCATAGTTTATCGTGCACAAATGTTCCAACCTTTCCTGTCAGAGATCTAAGCGAGTTAAAATATACAGGAGTACCACATAAAAATACATATTTACATCACTGTATATCCTATTTATATTACAACGCTATAGTCCACCTAGAAGAACAGAATCATAAACTGTGTATAGGTTTCTTTTCTGTCCTAAAACTAATAATACTATCATTACATCTTACTCCTTCAATAACTGATGTTTTACTGTCTGCCTGTTTATGTTAGCAGGACCTTATTTCTGCACTCAAGCAGCTGCATTGGAGCTTTTATTACTCTCTCTTCCACTAGAGGTCACCGTGGCACAAAGTCAGTTTCAGTAAAAGTGGACTCTCTCTCTCTCCCTCAGCTCAATTTAATACAATAACACCATTTAAAGAGCATTTAAAGGACCGAAGTGTGTAAAGACAAGATCCTAAAGTGAATGGCTAGCAGGCAATGAGAGAGAGATCGCACGAGTTCCTGCTCGTCCTACCTCCCCGTCCACCGTGCTGGAAAACATGCGCTAAGACACAAAGGCAGCGTGGGCTGAAAGGATATTTGGTTCTTATTGAGTGTTAGGGTATGGAGCTGCGGTAACCTGGGCAACCGGAGGTCATTTCCGAGAAGATTGTTGTCCACAATCAGCTCTTCCAGTTGGCTGAATGCTTTCAGGCCTGTCAGTGACCTGCAATGATAAGGCAAGAGAGGAAAAATGATATGGCCCTAAATCTGGGCGGCCATTATGTGCAGAAATAAATATTTCAGCCGGCCTCTTTCACGGGCCGGAATAGTTTGGGCTTGGGCCTGTCAGGAGAGTGAATGACAAGAATTAGTGGCGCTAAGATCCCCTGGCATGGTGCGGCCTCCTTCGCATGCTGGCAGTATGAGCGATGAGGGTCACTCTTGAGTAGCCAGGATTCAAAACAAAAGGGCTTCAGAAATGCAGTGTGCGGGATGAATTTGTCAATGTCTTGTGCCTTCAGGCACCCAGCTTTGCCTGACCCTAACCCTCCATTCCCAAGATAAATAACTCTGTCACAGTTCACCTTCACTCCCCCGACACAAATTTAACTTGTCATCCATCATTTTCTCAGCGCAGCTATAATACCCTGGCCACAAACAGAACGAGTACAACTTGTACAACTCTGCCATGATGAGCCCATTTAGAGTGCAAAACAAGAGTTTTTAGATGGAAAAGTCTGATAGTGTTCACTTTTTTTTTATTCAGCACTGAGACATCTAATCTCCTACTTCCACGACGACACAACACGCACACGAACATACAAACACGGTCCCCAAGGACTCTCCTCTCCTCCTGCGTGGCCCCCTCCCCTGACCCTGCTCTGGCATAAACATGATGGAGGGTGGTGCTCAGGGTAATGTCGGGGCCTTCCAAAGTTCACCGCATGGAAGGTGCACAAAGCCAGGGTGTGTGTTTCTAATCCCTCAAATGGCAACGGCTGACAACCTACAATGTTAATGTGTCCACTTTCAGTTAATTGACATTTAGCTCTGTCAGCTTGCCTTGAGAAAAGAACAATTCAATGGCAATTGAGACGCTGGGCTTCATTCCTTTTCAGCTAAAAGACATACAATACTCATATTAAGTTTCAATGACAGTCTGGGTTTTATCAGTCTTGTTTAAATCCTGAATAGAAAGTAGATATCTAGGGGGTAAAATCATGTGAGCAAAGGGCCGGCTTAGACAAATCCCATCTTCTGAGACATGACAGTGTCAATGCTAAATGAATCTTTTTTTGTTGTTTTTATAGTCCCTATTTTATAGTTATATTAAAAATCTTTTTGGTAAAATTTTCAGGAAAAACATGCTAAAATATGATGAATGTGTGCTGCTGCACATATTAATATTAATGTTACACACACAGAATCAAAAAGAAACAAGTTTATGTCTCAAATGCAAAATCGTCGACATTATTCTGACAAAGATAGGAATGACAACAACAGATACATCCTCAGAAGACTTCGTTCAATTATTTCTGACCGAGTTCTCTTTGAATACTCTTTCAATGTGCTTGCAAACATCAGATTCATCCTCATGGTGGTTCCACACATTTCCACCAGTGATGTTCCCAAATGCCTGAACATTACATATTGTAGCTTTAACGCAATGCTTTCTGAGCTGTATGTAAACCATAAAGATGAAGACCAGCAACGGCTGACTAACGAGAAAACACAAAGGAAAATGACATTAAGTCGTTAAAAAGGCCCTGAAAGAGGAGAACAAAACTACTGAAATCACACCCCTGCATGTTATTACCACATTGTGTAGGTGTGTGTGTGTGTCACTCTATCTGTGCAGTGTAATGGCTCTAATGTCCCTGCTCTGTAAATGAGTGCTGGGCTCCTGCTCGTCTCCACCTGTCTGCCTTGGCTAGTTCGCGGTGTGTGTAATGTTATTAGCTGCTTGGTTAAGAGGCGCTCGCATGGCACAGGGGGGCTGCTTATTAATTGTTGTTTTCATGTCACCACTGCTGCGTGCACTCGGTGATTTAATCAGTTAAATTCACAGCCAAGGGAGAGCACCGAATCACATTCGCAAACAACATAAGGGGATTGAGCCCTAATAGTCTCAGACCTCTAAGCAAATTTCCCTTCAGCATTCGAGGCTGTTTCCGCCATCATAATCCATAACATCTGTACAGTGTGAGGCGAGAAAACTTTTAAACTGTACAGTTAATGCTGTAATAGAGGCAGCTGCTTTGTTTAGCTGAATGCTAATGGACAAAAGTGAGCTTAGCATTCCCGAGAGATGTGCTAAGCACAAACACACACCCGCACACGCACAGGTAGGAACCTTCCTGATTTGCACCTCTCCCCCAAGGGGAATCCAAACCTGCTTGCACGCTTTCACCACCATCTTCAAAGTCCCACTACAATGGCAGAATGGCACGGTGCAGAAAGCTGCGTCTGATAGGAGGCTAGAGGGAGAGAGACAGAGCAAAGAGGGAGGGAGGGAGAAACTGAAAGAGTAAAAGAGGGAGTACGTTTAATGAGCCACACCAATGAACCCTCGTCTTGTTAAGATAATTATGATCAAGCTCATTGTCACAGCTAATATCTCAACATGTTTGCATCTACACTATGGCTCTCTTCCTATCTCTCTCTCTCTGTCTCTCGGCCTCAGTTAGCATTAGCCGAGGCACAAGCCCAGAAAGACAGTATAGTATACAGCTCCGAGAAGAAATATGAGTGCTCAGCTCACTTTTACCAACATTAAAATCTTGCACAAGGCATATTACTTCTATATTTAGAACACTGTGCAAAGGTTTTAGATAGATTTACACATACAGCTGTTGATCTGATCTATATTTTCTTAAAGAATAAATGCGGATCAACAATACATTGTGATTTTATATGCACCCAAAAGCTGTCCCCCAAAGTTTACAGTTACCATCCTATACTTAGTTTATTTAATAAATCCTTCAGTAAATTCAATCAAATGTGCTGCAGATGGAATTAATCAAACCCATCCATCCACTGAATTTAACAAAAATAGAACAAATTTGTACAGCAAGTGCAGCAAAAAGTCAATAAATTAACCTGTTTTTCCTGACTGTATTCTTCTAACCAACATATAAAAAAAAGTTATGTTTTACTGTATGTATTCTAGTGGTGTCAAAGTAAATGTGCTGATAAGAAGTTAATGTGATAAGTGATCGACGCCACCAGTCTTTTTAATGCTGTTTGCTTAGTTTAATAACCCTTTGAAGAACCTGTAATTCCACCTTGAAGCCCAGCTGTTTGGGTGCTGTTGTTATGACTCCACAACTGCAGCCCTCTTGTTCAAATACAGCTTTTTTTCAAATTTGCAGCCACTGTTGCTCTCACTGAACATTGTCAATGAAAGCTGGAAACATGATTTTGTGTTTAGGTTCATGTTTCTGTGTTTTAGGCAAAGAAAATAATGTGACTGAATTATTGAAAGTAATAAATATATCCTTGTGAAGCATATTTTGTCCACTCATATAGCGATGACACAACACACTGCTTTAAAAGGAAATTCCACTGATTTTTCTAAATGTCTGAAATAATTATATCACTGAGATGCAAAGCAAGTCATTTAGAGTGGTTTGATATGAAATGGTGCACTGTAAAGAAACGTATTGACTCAGATTTCTTTACGGTGGTGATGATGGGATCCAGAAGTCGCAGTGTCTACAACACAACTACAGTCATTTTATTTACCCACCCACAATAACCAGTGAACTTCTAGCGTCTATATGAACTGTTGATGATTGTAAAATAGTGATAAAAAAGGGGGAAAAAATTGTCTGACAACAGCCTGCATGCACCTCTCAGCCATGAATGTACTTCAAAAAAAAACTGTTTTAGGTCTAAACCTTCTCAAAACTATTAGAAGGTAGTGCCTCACCGAGCAGTGTGCTTGTAAACATTTCATGTAATACATTTCCGTTTGGTAGCCTTTAGAGGCATTAAACTCCTTGAAATAACCACCATTGTGAACAATTCTGACTTGGAAAGTTTCTCTAGAACAGACCATTTCACTTTAATCAAATCTGAATGACTGTACATCTAAACGATATATTTTGTAGGAATGTTTAAATAGCTGGGAAAAGCCATTCTTTAGGGTAAAATGTGAGCAAATTTGATTAACTACAGAAAACAATGCAGTTAATTATGTTTGATTAATTTAGTCATTTGGCAGCCCTAGTTTATTCTAATGTTTTATAGTGTTTTTACAGTGACAAACACACAGCCGAAATAAATGGTTTTAAATAGTTTTCTTGGCTGCCTAAGATTTTTGCACAGTATCGCCTATGTCCCTATGTGTTAAACACAAGGCCTGTGGGCCAAAGTCAGGCCCATGGCACAATCCTAACCGGCCTGCAAAACTGTAGCTGCACTACAGTTCCCAGCATGCACTGCAATGTAATGTGTGCTCCCACCCCGTCCCTAACAATGATCTATGAGACAGCACCACAAAACAAAAACAACAAAAAAAAAGTTGCCAGGTGTCTAGTTCAAGCAAATGGGCGGTTTTAAAAAACTACAGTACACTGGGGACATTTAAAGAGGTTTAACAGTGATCTGCAGCTAATGTTTTCCATCATTTTATATAAAATCATTTGTTTTTATTTTAAATTACTTTTGAATCATTCAAGTATTGAGTATCTATTTTTTCGCTTTGTAGTGTTGGCTTATTTTGAACAAACAATGGCCAGTTGGGGTCATGGTGAAATGTTAAGTAAAAATAAAATAAAAACAAAGCTGGCCCACAGATTTGTTGAGATTTTTTAATATGGCCCTTATAGCGGTTGAGTTTGACACCCCTGGTCTATATGATACTTGCCTTTGCAAAACTACAATACTGCAGGTGGCTGCAGTGTGCAAATGAGCCCTCTAACTAATCACTAAATGTTTTATTGTGTGCACTGTGAGCATTCTGACCAACCTTAGATGCTCCTACTTTTCTGTGGGTGTCTGGGTGAAGCAAGGCATTCACATGACCCAACTAATGTAAATCATTTAGGTCAAAAACAATGCAGGTCAGTCCATGTCATCCATTATGATTTATTAATGCGTTTTTAATATATTAATATATTGTAAGTGCTGCAGCCCTGATATCTTAACATGAGCCTGATCTCCTCCTTCATATGTTTTACATATACAAGCAAGAGGTCATGGTGCATTTAACACTATAAC